ACCAGTGTTTCCCACAGACTGCAAATTAATTCTCTGCCACCAGGAGGCGCTTTGGGAGCTGGAGATATAGCGGTTTCCCTGGTAACGGTTGTAATCAAATAAGCGCTGCTCACAAACTCTACTTTATCATGCATTACAGGAAAGATGAAATGAAAATGACATCGAAGCTTTTCTGTGAAGATGGTCGGTTCTTTTCAAAGATACATTCATATAAAAACACCCGCGATGCATTTTAATTTTGAAACGTGAAACGCTCATTTTATTCAACAAAGTATAAGCCTTTTGGAAAATCTATTTGTGGCGGTCAGTTTTGATATTGTGACGAGCCGCCACAAATAACTCAATGTATAGGAAACGCTGGACACTGCTATAAGTCAAATGGCCATAGTGATAACAAAAATAAAAGATTTCACACATATTGCACTGCCCGCTGCTCATAACTGCTTAAAGTGGAAGTGAAGCAGTCAATTAAGTTAACATTATTTAGTAAAGTGATATCCACTTTGATTAAAAAATATATAACAAACATGATTAATGTAATCATTTTAAAGAAAAAAGGATGTTTTGTTATAGCTTTTAGAGCAAGGGCGCCGCCATCTTGCAGTACCACCTCGTGACGTCACGGGGTTGGTTCGCTCCGATGGCCAGTGAAGTAATAAGCATTTCTTTACATTTTGAACACACAAATGTTATATTAACACACAAATAATTTGGTTTTCACCATAATTTGGATGAATATTCAACATCAAACTGTCTATATGCTAAGTTTTGATCGTGGTATCCCAAACATTGTTTTCATAATGCCAGGCGCAAGGTGATATAACCAGACGACGCTTCATCATATGTCGCATTTTATTGTTATGTCAGACCATTAAGATATATGCATTACATTGACTGGTTCACCAGTTGTATGTATCATATTTTATGTTCACCTGCGAATACAATTAGCTTTCCTGCTGTTAACAGGATTAATGTAATCATTTTAAAGAAAAAAGGATGTTTTGTTATAGCTTTTAGAGCAAGGGCGCCGCCATCTTGCAGTACCACCTCGTGACGTCACGGGGTTGGTTCGCTCCGATGGCCAGTGAAGTAATAAGCATTTCTTTACATTTTGAACACACAAATGTTATATTAACACACAAATAATTTGGTTTTCACCATAATTTGGATGAATATTCAACATCAAACTGTCTATATGCTAAGTTTTGATCGTGGTATCCCAAACATTGTTTTCATAATGCCAGGCGCAAGGTGATATAACCAGACGACGCTTCATCATATGTCGCATTTTATTGTTATGTCAGACCATTAAGATATATGCATTACATTGACTGGTTCACCAGTTGTATGTATCATATTTTATGTTCACCTGCGAATACAATTAGCTTTCCTGCTGTTAACAGGATGTAGTGTTTAACTAATCACCTAACGTTATCTGAACAATCGGACCAGTGCTGCTTCCTCAATAAAGTTTATCATTCTCACGGGTTTTAAGCCTTGTCAGTTTAAATATTAAAGTGTTTAGGCCATTCAAGCGTGAGACAGCACGGAATAGATTTCAGTGCGGTATTTACACGCTGTGATAGACCTTTTCTGAAAGAGATTTAAATGCGGTACTCAGGCGTTGTGATAGATAATTTCTGTTCGGGCCGGCGGCACTGCACACATACACACAAAGCCACAGCTCAGCTCGGACAGCACGTGAGTAGGCTACCAAATTGAGCTTTGTCACGCCTTCATCAGCAAATGCACACAAAGCATGTTGGAATGACAGTCTTGAGGAGTATCCACGTAAACGAGTATTGTTTCCGATCCGCACTTTACCGGTGCGGTTTCTTCAACCCCTAATACTGCTCGGTCCCATCGCCGTATCGGCTCAAATGCATAGGCAATTGCACTTATTATGGACTTAACAACATTATTTAGTAAAGTGATATCCACTTTGATTAAAAAATATATAACAAACATGATTAATGTAATCATTTTAAAGAAAAAAGGATGTTTTGTTATAGCTTTTAGAGCAAGGGCGCCGCCATCTTGCAGTACCACCTCGTGACGTCACGGGGTTGGTTCGCTCCGATGGCCAGTGAAGTAATAAGCATTTCTTTACATTTTGAACACACAAATGTTATATTAACACACAAATAATTTGGTTTTCACCATAATTTGGATGAATATTCAACATCAAACTGTCTATATGCTAAGTTTTGATCGTGGTATCCCAAACATTGTTTTCATAATGCCAGGCGCAAGGTGATATAACCAGACGACGCTTCATCATATGTCGCATTTTATTGTTATGTCAGACCATTAAGATATATGCATTACATTGACTGGTTCACCAGTTGTATGTATCATATTTTATGTTCACCTGCGAATACAATTAGCTTTCCTGCTGTTAACAGGATGTAGTGTTTAACTAATCACCTAACGTTATCTGAACAATCGGACCAGTGCTGCTTCCTCAATAAAGTTTATCATTCTCACGGGTTTTAAGCCTTGTCAGTTTAAATATTAAAGTGTTTAGGCCATTCAAGCGTGAGACAGCACGGAATAGATTTCAGTGCGGTATTTACACGCTGTGATAGACCTTTTCTGAAAGAGATTTAAATGCGGTACTCAGGCGTTGTGATAGATCATTTCTGTTCGGGCCGGCGGCACTGCACACATACACACAAAGCCACAGCTCAGCTCGGACAGCACGTGAGTAGGCTACCAAATTGAGCTTTGTCACGCCTTCATCAGCAAATGCACACAAAGCATGTTGGAATGACAGTCTTGAGGAGTATCCACGTAAACGAGTATTGTTTCCGATCCGCACTTTACCGGTGCGGTTTCTTCAACCCCTAATACTGCTCGGTCCCATCGCCGTATCGGCTCAAATGCATAGGCAATTGCACTTATTATGGACTTAACAGTGCTTTCAATGTTATCTTCCTCCATTTCAAAACAAGCGTGTGTTCAAAATGTAAAGAAATGCTTGTATTACTTCACTGGCCATCGGAGCGAACCAACCCCATGACGTCACACGCGGTGGTTCTGCAAGATGGCGGCGCCCTTGCTCTAAAAGCTATAACAAAACAACCTTTTTTCTCTAAAATGGTTATATTAATCATGTTTGTGATATATTTTTTTTTATCAAAGTGGAAATCCCTTTACTAAATAATGTAAACTTGACTGACTGCTTCATTTCCACTTTAAGAGTGCGCTGGCCACGAGCGAATATATGACATCATGGAGGCTATTGTTGGACCTACACACACATTTCATGAGGAAAGTTAACGTGCACGTTATAATCAGCCCAGAAGTTTCGTCTAAATTGAACATGTCTCTACTTTCACGTGCAAATGACTTGTTGCACTTATGAATATAACTTTCCGGCATCAATTCTAGTAGGGTAAAACGTAATTACGCTTTCGAAACAGTCTGTTTTGCCCTGCCATCATTAGCTGAAGCTGTGTGTGAACAAGCCGTGGCTGCAGAGTGTGAGCTGCTCCGTCTCACGCAGCCAGAGGGTGTTCCGCAACAACGCTGCAGATGCGCCTGCCTATAAATCGGCCTGATTTGCAACACAATCGGCCGATGCCGATTAATTAAAAAATGCCAAAAACCGGCCGATCAATCGGTCGACCTCTAATTAACACATCTCTTCCATCTTTTTTTGACCCTCTAACTCTAGCACTCTCTGTTCTAATTCTATTCTTTAAAAAAAAGAAAGCACTTGTCCCTTTTAGATTTGCCCTCTATTCATTTGCTTCTTGTTTTCTTAAAAAAAAAAAAAACCTAACACTTGCTTTCTAATCTTTTTGTATTCTATCTGTTTTCTTTTCATTTATTATACAATTAACAAAAGCAAAAAAAAACTAACACTAGCTTGCTCTATTCTTTTTCTATTCAGTTTTTTTAAAATATATATATTATATTATTTTAAAAACCCTTGCTACGTGTACTGTGTTAAGCTAACCGAGACTTGTTATAGCACTTGTATATCATTGCTCTTTTGTTGATTTTGATTGCTTCCATTGTCCTCATTTGTAAGTCGCTTTGGATAAAAGCGTCTGCTAAATGACTAAATGTAAATGTGCATTACCAAGAAATAAACATGTAATATTATTAGGAACTGTACTTATTAATGTAAAACAATAATAATTTTATGATTAAATTATCTTTCTTTTTAATACCCCACACACCACCCCCCAGTGCTACCAAATCTGCTTCTGGTGCCACCATCTATAGACTAGTGGCGCTGGTGCCACTGCTCTCAAATGTTAGAATGGAGTCCTGGGTTAACAGCATTTTTCTTAAGAATAAAAAGACACGTTCCTGAAATATTTACAAATGAACTGATATTGAAACAAAAGAGAATAACAATCTTGTGAATTGGAATGAAATCAAGAAATCTTTCAAGCAATCAAAAAACTTTTTTGAGGATATAGTGTTCATTTAAATTCATCAATTTTGTGTAACTCTTCTTTGCCATCTTTAAAAAAAATGTACTGTCAGGGGTAAAAAAAAGTTTATTAAAATTCTGGCTTTCCACAAGCCTCTTATTCTCTCAAACATTTGCCTTTGCTAAACTCAATATTTACAATAGCTTCACGTTCACATTATCGATTAATTTGATTTAATCAATAATCTTATAACAAAAACTTACAAAAATAGAAGGTATTTTCAATTACTTTTTCCAAATTCAGGTCTGCAGTCGGCATTAATTGTTGAACACAATTAAACTCACCTTCACGAGAGGCAGGGATATGCCAGCAACAGAGGACGAGTCCATAAACCTCTTCAGGTCTTGGTGAAGAAATTCAAACACCAAGTAAAGTTTATTTTCGGTGTGTATCACATCACGCAACCTGTAGGTGAGAAAACAGCCCTTGTAAGACTCCAGAAGCATTAGGGCAGTTGTACATTGTAGTTTGACACTACATTATGATGTGAACGCAAGTTACGCACTTGAGGCTAAATTCACTCATTCAGAACAGAAGTTTAGACACTGTACATACTTGACTATGTTTGGGTGATTGAGCTCTTTTAGCAGAGAGATCTCACGTATGGCAGTGCTGGGAACACCTTCAGTCTCCCTGTAAACAGACAAATAATCATGACAATCAAAGACATGCATCTAAGACAAACATCTGTTTATAACTAGTAATGAACCTCATTACTAATGAACTAATAGACTAATGAACCTCATCTCAGCTTACGAAATACCCCTCAAAAAGACAGTTTTCTCTTAAAGTTCATGACACCCTATGCATTAACTCATGTTAACCAAGTGAAACTTTGGCCATTATCTGTTTGTAAAAGAACATTAAAATGTGTAAATCTAGGTTATTTACAATCAGCAGTGCAACAGCTTTGACAGAACGTCTTTCTAAAAGAGGCGAAGTAAGTTTTAAATGTACTAAAACACGTAAATTACGGAACAGATCAGTTGTATCAATCGTAAATATAAAATATACATTCGAGGCACTAAGTTACCATTTAGAGTGTGTCTGTATCCAAGTTATTTAAACCTAAGACATTAATGACACAAAAATCTAATACACACAAACAAAAAGAAGAAAGTAATGACAAAGACTTACGTGTCTAACCGAATTTTCTTTAGTGCAACTGTCTCTCCGGTGATTTTATTCTTGGCTTTATAAACAACCCCGTATGTTCCCTCTCCAATCTTCTCGACTTTCTGAAAAGACTCCATGTCAAATTGCCCCCTTTCTGGGGAAAACCGCCACACTAAATCTACTTAAAACAACGGCTGTATAGAGAGAGTACTTTTAGTATCCAAACAGCAATCGAACGAATTAAAATCAATTATTTGATCTTAAAAATACTGACGACAGAAAATCAGTACCGCCAGTTCCCGCGTTTCATCCAGCACGCCCTCACACAACTCACAAAAAACAAGCCCCGCCCTCTGGCCAAAAGAAAAGGCGCATCCAAAGAGACGGTCAGCCTTCTAAACCAATGAACTGAGTGAAACAACAAAGCCCTCCCACTTGACGTGTAAACCGACCACACATAAAACTTCGTTTCCGTTATGTCTAAACCAATGAACTGAGCGAAAAAAATAACGTCCGCCCTCTTATGGTTTACGATGGGTGCTAGTCTGCTAGAGCTCAAACGAACACAAGAGCACCCAGACGAAGCGATATAATAGTACTAGTGATGGGAGAAACGAACCTTTTCGAAGCTTCGAATCAATTGAACCAACTATGCAAAATGATTCACTGTTTCGATTCGCTCGAAACACCACACGCTGGTGACGCCTGCTGGTCAAATTGTGTAAATGCAACAAAAACTCAGGACAAAGACAGCTTTTGCAAACCCATTGCAAATGTTTTCTTGAAAGTAAATGCATTAAATGCAACTGAAACAATAACATACAATTAAACATGAAGTGTCTGTATAATTTGTGTTTTTTTAACAATTATCATTCATTTGCGGGGCTTGTTTTGTTTGTTTTATGGAGAGCTTGTCTAAACAGGCCAGTAAGAGGCTATTAACTACTACTCATCCTTTTAATTACACACAAGTCTCATTAAAAATACCTTCAAATTGATCAAACTGATCCGAGATCAGGTAAAAACCATAGGTAGGTTCAATAGTTCGATCTCAGTGAACTCGCATGATTCAAGGGTTCACAGAGATCATCGCCCCCCGACGGCAATATGGCGTAAGGAAGCCTCGTTTACTGAAATCACGTGACTTTGGCAGTTTGATACGCGCTCCGAACCACTGTTTCGAAACAAATGATTCTCTATGATTCACGAAGCAGTGCTTCGAAAGCGCCCATCACTAAATAGCACTGGTTTGGCGATAGACTGCTACGACAGGATTCTGACGAGACACATTTATTTATACAGCGCTTTATGAAATATAGTTTCAAAGCAGCTTCACAATAATTAACTGTAAATAATAGTGTTGATGTTGATAAATTCCTAAATTATTAAACGAATATAATTTCAGCTGTAAGGCAGCTCTACAGAAGAAAATTGTCATTCAGCTCAATTTAGTTCAGCGTTGATTCATTTAGTTTAAAAACAGGGTCAATATTGCAAAGTTCATCGGTTATGAAATTCCGTGAAATAAACTTACAACACGCTGTTCAGTCCAGGGTTGTCACATATGGTTGCCGCTCCTTCGTTGAATCCGCCGGCCACGCCATTCTCGACCCCAGCCGCTTCAGCTCACTCTAGCTCGGCTTCCGCTCACACTAAGCCGCCGTGTTTTTCGTTTTGAAAGCAAAACTACTTTGTTTGGTCTTCCAAAAGAGGACACGACTACAAATCAGTGGTTAAGTTGTATTTACAACACTGTTCCAGAACAGTTCAACCTAAATATCCAGATGTGTGCAGCACATTTTATGGAGGACTGTTTACTGATATGGTAAGAGGCATAACAATTCAGTCACACGCTTGAGGTATTCGGCCAATCCAACGCACTGGATAACTGGCCAATCAGAGCACACCTCGCTTTTTCAGATCATTGAGCTTCCAAATCGGCGTTTCAAAAAGGCGGGGCATAGAGGACAAACAATAATGTACAGTATGTGGAAAATAATGTTTTTTTTTTACTTTAAACCGCATAAACACATTTCATTACACCATATACACAAAATAATGTTCTTTTTAGCAGCATCATATGACCCCTTTAAGATAGGATTTCAAAAAAACTGTCCGTGTTAAATGTCTCCTGACCGACCGGTGGCGCTGCAGCGCTAAATCGGCCGTAAAGACTTTAAAACCGGAATGAAGCAGATTTCAAAATACAAACCTCTTCAAGAAAATGGCGGAAGTCGTGGAACTGCATAAACTCAAGGTAAGAAACGATGCGCAAAGAACGTTTCTAGGAATGTTTGTTAGTATGTTTCTATTTAGTTTTTGGATCTGGTTGTAACAGCGAGCTGTGTTAAGTTGGCTTATGATGATTAAACCGTAATATATTTGAGTTAACGTTTCAAGGTTCATTCAGCACTTGTTTCTCAAAAACTCTAGTCAGCTTCCTATTGACATACAGCGTTTTGACTCTAGCCTCAACATAGTGAGCGGTGTACCTTTCGTTCCTCGCTGAAAAACATCCAAGTTACCTGCTTATATAAAAAGCATTTTAGCTCGGTCTTTAAGAGACTTCTAAAACGCGACTTTTACTTTGTTCCCTCACCACTCAGGCACTACGTTCTACTCTTCCAGTGGTTTATCAACTACAGTTCACTCTAAAAAATAAAGCCCAACCAGCACGTGTTCTTCCCCTACAAGTGCCTAAAAAGTGGGTTGTAACAATAGACGTCAATCTAAAACAATAATATAGTTGCTTACTTTTTGGCCGTCATTGTCTATCAACGCCTAGCTAGCTGCCTTCATAAACCGCATTTTTGGGCGTAAAGGTATGAAAATCTAGAGCGTTTTAAACCACACATCGACCTAGATTAAGATGCAATAATTTTTGCTCCCCTTTTCTTTTTTCATATGAATGACATGGTACATTTAATTTGTTAGAACTCAATTATTTAGAAGAAGCCATGTTTGTTGAGATGCCAACTTTGTGGACTGACAAAACATAGATTTCACACAGCAGGTATGTGATTTGTGGTTGTGATAAATGTATGTAACCCCAGTCATTAAAACTAATATAATCTCCACAGTTGGCTGAACTGAAGCAGGAATGTACTGCTCGTGGGCTGGAAGCCAAAGGAAATAAAGCCGATCTGATTGCCCGGCTGCAGGCCTACCTGGACGAGCATGGTATGCATTTGCTAATACAATATATTTTTATATATTTTACTTTATGGGTACTTTTTTTTTTTTCCTTAACCAGTTCTCATTACAATTGTGTTCTTTAGATATCTCAAAGATAGGTGTAATACTGCACCTATTTAATGACATTCTACTCCCTTCTTTTCCAAAAGAGGTAGTTCACCCACAAATGAAAGTCCTGGCGTTATTTACTCGCTCTCATGTTGTTTCAAACCCGTATTCATTTCTATCTTCTGCAGAACTCAAAATACAATATTTTGAAGAAAGCTGGTGAGGATGAAACCATTCTTGCTTCCCAATGACTTCCATAGTATTTTTTTCATACTATGGAAGTATTGAAAAGTACCAGCAACTGTTTGATTACTTGCATTCTTCTTTTGTATTCAACAGAAGAAACTCATACAGGTTTGGAACAACACAAGGATGAGTAAATGATGACTGAATTTTCATTTTAGGCTGAACTATTCCTTTTAATAAATGGGAATAAAAATAATTTTGGGCATCCTGGCAGGATAAATCTCAAATTCTGAAACCATTATAATACCTGTTTAACATTTAAAATGTGTTTTTAGAAGAAGTGAATGAAGAGGAAGTTCTGGGAGAATATGGTGAGGTAAGTTTTCCCAGATGTAATGTGTTTCCATGGGAATTTTCAGGACAAAAGCTAAAATAGATGCACACTGAATGTAGTAGCTAGAGTGTTATTTTATACATTTAGTCATTTAGCAGATGCTTTTATCCAAAGCGTGGACAATGGAAGCAATCAAAATCAACAAAAGAGCAATGATATACAAGTGCTAACAACAAATCTCGGTTAGCTTAACGCAGTACATGTAGCAATTTTTTTTTTACAGAAATGAAATGCATTGTGTGTAGTCCTTAGTGTTTGACCAGTTTATTCCTAGTATTAAGATCTGTCCTGGCTGATCTGATCACAAGTAGCCATGAACAGGGCTCCAGACTGCGACTAAAACGGTTGCATTTGTGACCAAAAATATTCATTTGCAAGTGAAGTTTTTGCTGAGGTAGCCACTGGCGACTAGGGATGTAACGATTAACCGCGAGCCGGTTGAAAATCGATTCAAATATGTGACTATTCAAATCGGTATTCAATTAGGGGTAGGAGTTTATATGAATGCATGTCTGAGGGGAACATACTGTCTTAAGCAAAGTTTAGATGGTATTTTTTCTTTTACACTTGCCTCTGTATAATGCATATTAAAGTTCATAAGTGCAGCGCTGCTTTGTTTACAGCAGAAACCAAGGAAACGCTTTAAGCGCCACCTGCTGGCAGAGAGTGAATCTGCGTCTCATTCAGCTCGTCTGCTGTTTCTGTTTCATGCAGATATTTTTATGTATAGTTTCACAACTTAAGTCAAACCATTCTGTTTTTGCTTCAAATTTCGAAATTATACAATCTAATTTAGATTAAAAACTGCTCATGTTGCATGTATACAGCATCTTTGTTTGGATCATGATTAAAATGCAGTGGTTGCCTCTAATTTTAAATGGAAAGAGCACAGACAAAGCCTTAGTTTGTTTATATGAAGAGATTTCTTTTATTTGTGTTTATTTGATTTGGGTTTTGTTTTAATTTCAATTTAGTTTTGTTATTTACATTTACATTATATTTAAATTGTCATTTAGCAGACGCTTTTATCCAAAGTGACTTACAAATGAGGACAATAGAAGCAATCAAAACCAACAAAAGAGCAGTAATGTGCAAGTGCTATATTAGTATATTATTATAGTGTTATTTCAATTTCACAAAGAAACGTGCAGCATTTTGTCCAAGCAATAATAAAAGGACCCATTTAATTTATAATTTGTCTTAAATCTCATTTTGTAAAAAAAATAAATCGTGAATCGAATCGTGAGTTGAGTAAATCGTTACATTCCTACTGGCGATATGAATCGCTCGCTATGTCAATGTATAATGCATGTTAACAATAACCCCAATCTGTTTGGAATGGATCAGATTTCAGATTCTGAAAGTTCTGTTTATATTAACCCTTAACGTTGCTATCCAGTTCATATATGTGCATTACATATATTCAGAGGCGGACAAAGTACTCAACTCTATTACTTGAGTGAAAGTACAGATACCGCTGGTCAAATATTACTCCATTACAAGTAAAAGTTGTGAAGACAGATTTTTACTTAAGTACTTTTAAAAGCAAGTACTTCTGTACTTTTACTTAAGTACCAAATGTAAATTTTCCTTTTGTTGTATGCAATACTTCTGAAGCAACAGAATATATTACACCTACTGAATACACTGACTAGCTTGTAGTATCTTTGAAATAAAGAGCTTTTAGAATGTTAAAAACCTATGGGGAAACAAAACACAAATAAATAAACATTTAACACCCCTACCCACCCCCACAAAAGCAGGATGGTAGTGCTCTGACAGTGTGTGCACACATCTATGTGTAGCCATTCATCCATATTTGAACAGAGTGAACCGTGAAATCCTGTAAATACAGAGTGATAAGGAAGAAACCAAATCAA